AAGGACAATAGCACACAAAATCTAACTTACAGCTGTTTCCTAGGTAACAGAGATACATCTACAAAACTGTTGTACTGAATGGAAAGAAACAGCAAATGTTTTCACTTTTCTACTATTTTTGGCCTAGGAAAATCACTACTTCAGAAGCTGCGCGATATGGGACCAGAGAATTGGAGTTAGATTCCAGTGTGTTTGTTTTGTCACTTTTAGGTTTGTGCACACCTTCTATGATTGCACAGACAATGTCAGAAAACTTGTGAAATAAATCATAGCAGAGGTTTTTTACTTAGTTTGTTCTTTTTTCTTTTTTTTTCTACAAAAAATGCTGTGTAGCAGAATTGGTCCTTTTCATGAATGAAACAAACAGAAAAGCAAATTTTATGTTTTCTTGGTCTATTATTGTTTTTTAGTAATTTTTCAGAAATTATCTATTGTTTTTTGTAGGAAGCCTAGTTCAAAAATGGAAGGAAAAAAAACCTAGAAAACTGAATTAAGTTAGTAAATTATGCACAGTGTGTTGGTTACTCTTTCATGTATGTATGTGATTATATAGAATTTAGTAGGTCTTTTTAGAAGTACTATAATTGTAGTATATTCCCAGTAGTTTCTTTCTCAATTATGTTAAGCATAAATTACTTTTCCTCACTATAAAAGTTGGCATATTTAATCCCCATTTGCCATTTTTGTGTCATTGAGACAACTATTTCACAACTAATGCTTACTAAATTAGAACATAAATAAAGCAACTGAGTTTTTCTCTGTGCTGCTACTCCAGCCTGGGGGAGATCTCCTGTAAAGAGAGCCTCATTCTTGTTTAAACATCTGCTTCACATTTACTCAAATATTGCAGTAAAAGGCAGTCATGACAATGAGATAAGAGGGCGATTTGTTAACAAAATTATGCATTGTGTTGACTAGGAGTGTCTCATTGCTTCCTTGTGATCCCATTATCTGTCAGCAGCATCCATCGATTGTGTTTGTCCTTACATTCGAAACATTGGTGTAAAGACTACTCTCAATTATGTAGGAAATGAAAGTGTTTTAATGTAGAATAGCTGTGGAAACCTGATTTACGACAACTGTAATTAGCTTAGATCATAAACTAAAGGTTCATCTCTCACCAGCCTGAAGTGTATTGTTAGAATGTATAGTAATATTTGAAAGGTGGGTGGTAGATCAAAATATAAGTAATATAGTAATTCTGTTGTAACAGGTTACTTTGCTGAAATACATGATGAAAACTAAAGTGGTAATAGAAAAGAAATAATGGATGTATATATTGTGGTAGAATTGCTATACTGTGTTCATGCTCTTTTTGAGGAGTGTAAGTTCCTGCACTTATGTGTAAGTTCCTGCACTTAAGTATATGTACTAGAAGTAACAGACAGTGCTTTTCTCCATATTCTCTCTTTTTCATTTGCTTCAATTTAAAAAAAAAAATCTTCTCACCATTTTCTTAAACAACTGGTATTTGCAAGTGATGTCTACTTTTACTTATGTACTTATAATAGCTAAACATATCACCTAGCTTTTATAGCAAACATTAAATTTGGATATTCTCCATCAGTATGATAAGGCAGGGGAACCGGAAAGGTAACTAATCACTCCTTGTGTGCAGAATGCACCCTGTGTCTACCCAGACCCCTGAACATCTAGTGGATATTATCAAGCGGATAACTTTTACACTGTGTTGAAGGAAAAATAGTTCAGGTTATTTTTGCAGGTTATTATTTTTCCACCTCAGGTTTTCAAGGTATTTTCATCATGAGGACTTGCTTTCAAACAAGTTAGTGAAGCACTAAGAGAATCACACTGGGCTCTAGCAAACATAAACCCTCCATACTAGAAGCCAATGATTAATATTTCAACATCTATAAAAAAAAGCTACATTCTACATAATTAAATATAATCTTCCCTTAATTCTATTTTCATTAGTAACATTAGTGAATATTTTCTGTTAGTAGTTAATACAGTATACTGCTAAGTTTAAGCTACTTTGCAGGTTAAAAATATTTCCAAAGGACATAACAGGAACAGGAAAAATAAAAATGAAAAGTTATCTTAGTGTAGAACACCTGCGACAGATTTTAGTAACTTAGTCTTGGGAAATTGCATTTTTTCATTGATGAGGAAATAAAAACCTTATATACACTAACACAATGTAATTTAAGATATTTTGTTGACACAGCTTAACTAAGTGGAGTGTGTGAACTAAATGCTTAACAGCCTTCTGTTCTTAAGTTATGAATGGAGTTATTCTACAAGAAGTACTCTAACTTGTGGCAATAGCAATCTCTCAGATGATTTTGTATTAGACAGCATTTATGTTTTATATTGAAAAAGTTGGTACAAATACTCTTCACTTCTGGAAATACATAAAAATAGTTGATAAACATGTAATATATAACTGTGTGTTCTTATAGGACTATAATACTAGTTACAGAAGTTCGTGCTTTGTAATGAGAAGCATACAAAAATGAAATGCTGTAGAAAATATGTTGTCTGTATTCTTTTTTGTCTCTCTGAACAGCCACTGTGAGAGAAGACATTAGTTCATTTTTCCTTATGCTTGAGATCTAAAGTGAACATCTAAAGTGCATTAAAATGTCTTTACTGGACTATGATCGAAATTCCTTTAAATTTTTTTTTCATTATCTCTGCTTTGAGATAAAAGTAGGAAAAACAACTAATTATTACAGTGCTTTTTGTGGTCATGTCATACAGAAATCTAATTTTTTCCCCTATGTTTACATGGTTTGTACAATCATTTGTGGAGATATTTGTTCAATTCATGCAGAAGTTGTCTAGATGAATAAATAAATAATTGTCAATATTCTAATGAACATTAGCATGATCGTTACCTTTGCAGAGATGGCAACCTCTTTTCAATTCTTGATCAATCGTTAAAGTGAGAGACATTGTCCCTTGCCTCAAGGAAAAAAAAGATTGTCAGTGTGAATATTTTTTTCATTTTCCATTTCTTTTTTGAACTCAGACATGTAGCATCTCATCAATGCTGCTGTTACAAATCCATGATTTAATAGATATTATTAAGAAATAAACTACTTTACTTATGTTGTGTATCTCTAAGGTAGAAATAGCTCCTTGCAGTTTTAGAATTGCAGAATGAGATTGTTTGAACAGGAATAATTTACAGGGGCGAAAATCTGAATGTGGTAGCTAGGTCTGACAACTATACTATCTAATAGGATTTGTCTTGTCTTCCCCATCGCCCAATCCCTTCCAGGACCATAGGCAAAATGGTCTTAGTCATCAGTTGCAGCAGAGTGAAGCCAAACTGTCTCTCTGAGGATAGCACAGCTAGAAAAGTTATTTAGGGAAGACAAAGATGATACTTGTTTTCTGGCCCAGTCTTTTGGAGTTCACCCAAATAAATTAGAGTATGTTAAAGTTAAGTGCTCTTTTCCCTCCCCAACACCTGGAGCCTGCATCCATTCAGATGGAAAGGTTTGCTCACTGCAGCTTCAGAATGCCTGAGGAATAAACATGTTTCCCTACTGAGTATTTCTGCATTAGACCCCTGAAAAGCAGTCACACAGAACTCAGCTCTTACCAATTGTATGGCCTCAATCTCCATGCCTCTGCCAGGTGAGGACAAATATGCAAATAGTGTGTGTAGCTTAGTCTGTCAGTTAAATACTACTTGGGTTGGTTTATTTCTGTTACTTAGATAGCTGCGTAACAATGGTGGCTTTTAGAAGAAACAAACAAACAAACAAAAAGGCTGGAGTGCTTTTGATTCTGAAAAAAATGTTATCTGCTTCCTCGATTTAATTTCTATCACAAATCCTTCCCTTTTGGATCTGAGTCTCACTAGGATAGTGAGAAGCATTTAGGAACTTTTTCTCTCCCTACCTTATGAAATGGTTGTGGAGGTGTTCATGTGGTACAGTTCTCGTAATAATACATATACCATTAAATAGACTAGAATAATAAATGCCAGTCTCATAAATGTAAGTATGATGTTTAATAAATGGGATCCACTTGCAAAACAAAACAACTACCTAAGCAGTTTTGGTGAGATAAATAGTTGTTTCTCATTAATACTCATATCTTCAGCATAGTGTCTAAAAAGAAGAATGCAAAATAGCTTTCTTTGCTAATCAATGTATTGCTCTAGCCTTGACTTCACTTCACCAGCATTTTGCTGGAACGGATTTACATATTTCCTCTTATAAAACCGTTTGAAATCCTAAGGTTATTTTAATAAAAAAAATCCCAAGGCCTTCTAAACAGTTTGTCTATTCAATTTAAAATATGCAGCAACTGATCTAAGAGAATTAGTAGGCATGCACTATTTTGTGCTTTGGTTTAGAGTAAGTACTGACTGTAATTACTATATGTAGGACACTTGCTGTAGCAATTTCCACTTTATAGAAGACTTGATAATGAAAAGAATAAACCAGATCTTGTCAAAGATATCCTTTCTCTTCCTCTGGCAATACCACTTTTCTTGTTCAAATAAGTTTGGTACGTCCAGTAAATGAAGAGGTAGAGCTAGCTTATGAGCATTCAAGCATAACTTCTGCTTTCTGAAGTCAAATATTATAATGAAATATATAGTGTTTCATTTTCTATCATATTTGCACGTTTTCCTGTATATATTACATTTCTACTGTTATGCAAAATGCTTTACCAAAGGTAACACTTAAGATGAACCTTTCTAGAATGGTCTAAATGAAAAAAGCACAGGCTTGGAAACTGATAAAGCTTTCCTTAGTTTCTATACACAGAAAATTTTGCCTAAGAAAGAATCTAAAGCTGCAATAAATTTTTTTACCTTAATCTGAAGACCAGACAAGGAAATAGTATGGATCAAACTACTACAAAATGAATTCCTTAACTCTTAAAGCAACCCTGTTGGTATTGTTATAAGAAGTTAATAGCCTTTGCTTTTTCAATTTTTTTTAAATTTATCTTTAAACTCTTAATAGGAAATCAAATTCAAAATAGTCTTGTTTTGTGTATTTTCTTTTCAGGGGATAAATGTAAACCTACTGAATACACTGAAGTGAAAAATATGTTACTGGATCTGCAAAATCAGAGGTACATTGCCCAATCAAAAGATAAAACCATTGATGAGAAAATGGCTTTAAAGAAACTTCTTGTAGATCAAATGTTCAATTATTTTGATTCAGACAACAATGGACTTGTGGACACTAATGAGTTATCTCAGGTAAGATTTAGATTTTGTTTCCATTAGCATAGTAGCTGTTTAATTGCCTTTGTCAGGACACACACACGGAATATTATTTCTTAGGATGCTTTACTGTAGAAAATGTTTGTGAGTCTCTGAAGTGGAAAACTTCATTTGAGAATTATTCAGAAATTCTGCACTGATTACTTGGAAATTTTAGTATAATGCTTTGGAACATAGTGCAGTGGGTTAGAACACTCTAGGCTGTTGTGACCATGAGTTGTTTTATTATCCACAGTACGCTATCATATAGTCCAAGAGTATAGCTGTATTGTAGAAGTTGAAAACAATTAAAATGATGTGGTAAATCACTTCTTTAATAATAAAATATAATTGCTTCATCTAAGTTAGGGCTAGAGAAGTACAGAAGTAGTCTTGCAAAGTTCATGGTAGTCTCTAAACAGTAAACTTTAACTAATATAGATCTAAACCAGTAATTGCTGCTCTGCTAGGCACAACAGCACTAGCTTTAATCAACCTAAAAGAGATAATTCTATTAAAGAGTGTTGTTAGGGCAAATGTACTTTGATTTACTAGAGGTCTATGTTTGAGGAACCTAATCGTGGCTAAACTATATTAATGGGTCTGATATTAGTCAACCAATTAAAAATTTAAGAAAAGTAAGATTTTTTTAGATGTGACTGTTGATCATTGTGCTATGTTTTATGTGGCGTGGCAGTGTTAAGAAATATTTACAAGTGAATGTATAATGCCTAAGGTGTAAGGCTAGAGTTATCATTTCCATACAGACAACTTTTAAAATTTTAGTGGCAATTTCCAGGACCAGAGGCTGGTTGCAAATATAGGTATCATGTCAAATACTAATAAATAATCTGTTTCAAAAGACTAATTTAAAAATATTATTTTTCTGTACTTTAAAAGATTTGATTTTCCTGCTGCTTTTTAGACTCTTTTAGAAACTCAGCTTTCAAGGGAAATTGGTGCCTGTATATATCTTACAAATAATACTTTTTGTGTGAATATACTTTATGAATAGATAACATACATAAGAATCACAGATACTGACATGCAAACTATATTAAATGCTTCTCTATTCAGTTGCTACATGTATACTTTTCCCAATGCTTTTTTTTTTGTGTGTCAAACATAGTTTTAAAATAATACAAAATTCTTTCATTATGGTATTTTCAAACTTTCTATACATACTTTCCCCACATAGTCTTTTTTTTTCCTATAAAAATGAATTTATAATAGCAACTGTAAAGTAGTGCTTTTCACAAGTATGGAAGCAGATCAAACAACCTTAAAACCCAGACATGGTGCTATGTGGTATTACTATAATTCATTGTAGAAACATGGAATTATTCAATTGAAAGATTAATGTAAAATAAATTCATTGTTAGTGCCATGTAGTTTGTTATTTTATGTTTTGACAAGAGACACAATAATTAATGCCATGAGGGACCCACACTGGAGCATTCTGTTCCCGAAGGACTGCACCCTTTGGAAGGTACCCACACTGTAGCAGTTCATGAAGAACTGCATTCAGTGGGAAGGACTCGTGTTGGAGCAGTTCATGGCGGACTGTTTCCCTGTGAGAGGGGAAGAGTATGAGGAGTCCTCCCTCTGAGGAGGAAGGAGTGGCAAAGACAACATGTGATGGAATGACTGCAGCTCCCATTCCCCATCTCCCTGCACTGCTGGGGAAGGAGAAGTTAGAGAATATCAGGAGTAAAGTTGAGCCCAGAAAGAAGAGAGGGATGAGGGAAAAGTGTTTTAATATTTGGGTTTATTTCTCATTTATTCTACTCTGCTCTTGGTAATGAATTGAATTATTTGTGCCCAAGTTGAGTCTGCTTTGCCCATGTTGGTAATTGCTGAGTGATCTCTCCCTGACTTTATCTTGGCTCACAAGCCTTTCATTATTTTTTCTTCCCTGTCCAGCTGAGGAGGGGAGTGACAGAGAGGCTTTGGTGGGCACTTGGCCTCCAGCCAGGGTCAACCATCCACAGGCAGACATTACTGTACTCCTGAAAACATTTTCAGGATTAGGAGAATTTCTCTCAGTTGTGCTCACAATACAGTTAAAATTTTGAAATCTGCGGAGTTGTGATAAATGATAGTGCCTGTCTACATTTTAGATGTAATCATATTAAGGGGAGATGAAAAGCAACGTATTTGTTGTAGAAAACAAGGACTCCTGAAGTTAATTTATGTTCACATAAATATTGAAGTTCAGTTTTTAGTGCATCTTAAATTTTACATCTTGTCAATCTTGTTGTGAAATCAGGCTCTTGGATTGCATTTATTATCTCATAGGTGTCCATATAGTCATCCTACCTAATGGAAAATTGAAATGAATCAGTTGGAGATTGGAAATGGTGACAGCAACACTCCAATTTTTATTGATGTATTTTGGATCTGAAGTTATAAGGTTCTTCAGTTTGCATCTTGATGCAAGAGAAATGAATATTCCTCTCTAGAAAAAGCAAGAGTATTGTTTTTATTAAAAAAACTATTTCAAGCAGTGAAAAAGTTTTTTTGTTTGTTTGTTTCTTGTTTGGGGTTTTTTTTAGCTTCAAGTATTATAGCAGTAAATTAAAAATTGGTAGACTATTTTTTTCTTCTATTTAAACAAACCTAGCACCTGGGTATAATATTTTTCATGGCTTTGTGGACTAATACAGAATTGCAGTTAAAAGTAATTTTAACTCTGTTACACAGTGTAAATGTAATAGAAAAATTGTGGGATTATGTAGCTCCATGCAGGCTGAATGAACAAGTCTTTTCTCATATAAATGCCTTTCTGCCTTGACTGCTTTCGTTGCTGAGCCTTACTCATTTAATGTTTTAGTTTCCAAATCCTATGTCGGCAAGTGAGATGTGGCTTGATTTTAAAAGGACTTACCGATGAAGTTAACTTTTTAGACCATTCTGTTTTGAGCAGTAGATACTAATCAAAAAGAGAATGTCTTTCCAAAAGTGCAGGGTATGAAATAGGCATGATTTTTATCGTCTTCATCACCTCTGGTCAACATATCTGCAAGTTTTCTAGTACAGTGAGGTGGTTCCTTGAAGGGTTTGTTTTGCTTTTAAACACTTTGAAACAATTTAAATGAATCCAAAATAATAGAAGATAATTGAATCTTCCTGTTAGGTATGAATATTCAGTTGTTAACAGAGTCATTTTTTTATCTATTTTATCCTATGCAAAACCAAACAGGAATTTAAAAAAAGTTGTAAATGAAATACCAGTATTTCTATCACTGCAGACTACCTGATTATTCTATATTGTTTTTGTTGTATAGAAGAGAAAAGCAGCAGAAGTGTTATGAGTAGGCATGGGAATAAAATGTATTTTTTCAGTGATGAATGTAGTTATTCCTGTATGGTGGAATTGCCTTTTTATAAACAGTAAGCCTTTTCTGGGTGGCAACAGGGAAAGATGCATAACCTCTGAGAGTGCTTCATCTTGCTCAACAGTGAAATTCAAGGTTCTTCTGCATGTGAAGTGAAATAATCTATACTTGATTAGACTTAGAACTGCTTTTCTTCTATTTATTTCTTACACTACTGAACTAAGAAAGCAAAAGTTTATAGAAAAGCGAAGTGACTGTCATGGTTTGAGAGCCTCAAAATCCAATTCCCTAGTCTAAACCCCCTCCCACATCTCAACCCAATGTGAGATGGGTTTTCCAGGCAACCACACAAGACTCAAAATGGGGAAAAGGGAATATATTACAATGACTGTACAAATAAATACTAACATACATTATATGCAATCTTAATTATCTCTACCATGACATAAGTATTTACAATGGATCAAACCTCTTCTCCCCTCCAAATAAAATTCCAGGAGGGAAGAAGGAAAGATCCCTTCTTCAGAGCAGCAATGTCTCTAAGGCAGCAGGTTTATCTGTTTCGCTCTTCTCATGCAGCAGCTGCATCTCTGCCAGCACACATGAGGGGTATCCAAGCCTCTCAGCCACTCATCTTCAAATGAGGGTCTTCCTCTGTGGGCTGCGTAGCAGGGACAAAACTCGCTTCACCACGGTCATGTCACGAAGCGCAGGGGCATCTTTGTGAAAGTCTCTTCCTCAGGGGGGTCACCCCTGAGTCAGAACATCTTGGGCAGCATTCAATTGAAAGCCTTTGCCTCAAGAGTTCTACCAGAGCTCCTGTGCTCTGTCTCAGGCCGCTAGGCTTGGCAGCAGCAGCGACGGGGGGCCAAGGTCACTCCCTCTGCGTTCCTTCTCTGTCCCGGTCTAGCTTTCCAGGATGCTTTGAGCTTTTCAGCTCTTCTCCTTGGTGCATGTTGCACTCTACGACTCCTCTCAAGCCGAAGTCCATCTCCCTCCTTTCTCGGAGGTCTCAGAGGGGTATAAGGTTTTATTTCAGTTCTTACCCCAACTTCCTCTCAGTAGATCCTAATTTTCTCTCTCTGCTGCTCTCTCTCTCTCTCTCGGCTCTCTCAGACTTCCTTGCCTTCTCTGTGCCTTCCTTGGCTGCGTGCTGTTGCTTTCTTATCTTTTGGCTCTTAGCCACAGTCTCTGGACGCTGCTTCTGCCACTGCTCTGTCTCTGCTCACTCACGGTGGAGAAAACTTTTTTAGCTTTGAGCCACAGGTATTTAGTCCAGCATTACGCTGTTCCAAGTCCCTGCAGCCCCCCGCTGTGGGCTGGAGGGGGGCCCAGCCCCCAGTGGGGCTGCTGCTGTCTCTCCTCGTGGCTCCTACAACATGGCCACTTCTTCTACAACCCAACTACAACTAAGCTTCTCTTCCATTCTGCTTGTGATATGTTTATATTTTGCAGAAGCACTCATTGGATAAAACCTCAAAACTTCAAGGGTCACCATCCCCTGGGATTTTACCATTTTATAACTTCAGGGGGAAAAACTGTTTCCCCCCACCACAGTGACATAGCCTTGAAAGCAAGTTGAATATATAATAATAATAAATTTTCCTCTTCCTTTCCTTAATGATTTGCATTTTAGATTCAAAGAAAGAATTTAACATC